TCAAAGAAATCAGCATATTAGAATGATTTATGAAGGATCATGTAACACCAAAGACTTTGACACTAAATACAGCTTTGCAATTACAGGAATAATTAGCATTTTAAAATATATTCAGCTAGAAAACAGTTTTTAATTCTTACTAATATTTTACAATAAACATAAGAGATTTATTTTAAAAAATATGTTTAAAAAATCTTACTGATCCTAAACAATTGTATTATATTATATTATATTATATTATATTATATTATATTATATTATATTATTCCCCTTTCAGGTTCCTTTAAGGAACTCAGATCTGGAAATTCATACTTTTATAGAAATTTTTGAGAGGCTAGTAATTGTCTTGAGGTATAGTGCTATTCATGAAAATGAATTTCACACATTACTGTATTCCCTTTGCACATTTACTACTCAAAAAGTATCAAGATCTGAAAAATATATCATCAGTTATTTACTTTTTGATGACCTCCATTATGAAATATTTAACGATATTCGTGTTTTTCTACTGTAAACATCTGGTAATTAGAAGATTCGTAGAGTTGATCAGCCTCGATTTAGCTCGATTTGTCTGCTCCTCTCTATGGTTTTAATAGGTTGTTGGGCCCCTCACAGTTTGTGTGGTCCCTATGGTGAGACCGAGAAACCAAGCAGGCATAGGATGGGTAGATGTCAGATCTTCATGTGGGAACCTCAGACGTCAAAATCCCAGATATCCCACCCTAATCTCCAGCAAAACATTTTGTTTTTCCTCTTTCTCTCTCTTCGGTCCCTCTCTCTCTTTCCTTTCCTCCCTCCACCCATTTAGGGCTTTAATTTTTATTCATGGGGTGTGAAGGGGTTGAGACGGGGGTGTGGGGACAGGATCGGGATGGAAGGGGATAACTTCTTGAGCTGGGTCCAGGGCTCAGACCAGCACAGCTGACAATGGCCTCAGTGTTGTGCTGGGTGTTGTGAGCAGGCCGTTTGGACATTCTTTCCCTGTCAGTGGAAGCAGATCTGGGAGGTAGCGGTGCCCGGGATTACCATCTCATTAATAGCAGCCATGACTTTTGTTCAAAGATCGACTTGTGTAATGTTGCCGTGTGGATGATGGGTAATCCGCTGAAGCTGCAGCTGTAGGGGAAACTGGACACACACACAAACACACACACATTGGGACTATACAATGTGAAATTGTATGAAAGAGGCATTGAAAACATACATAAAATTATAGACGTCGATATTGACAGACAAACTGACCGTCAAACAAAAAACAACCTAAAAAGCCATTTTAATATCAAAATTGCATTGCAGAAATTATGAGGCAGCTTGACTGGGGAAAGACAGTAGCGGTCAGTGGTCATATATATATATATATATATATACAGTGGGTACGGAAAGTATTCAGACCCCCTTAAATTTTTCACTCTTTGTTATATTGCAGCCATTTGCTAAAATCATTTAAGTTAATTTTTTTTCCTCATTAATGTACACACAGCACCCCATATTGACAGAAAAACACAGAATTGTTGACATTTATGCAGATTTATTAAAAAAGAAAATCTGAAATATCACATGGTCCTAAGTATTCAGACCCTTTGCTCAGTATTTAGTAGAAGCACCCTTTTGAACTAATACAGCCATGAGTCAAATTCAACAATTATTTTCTCTTGTGGACTATATGTAAACATATTTTATTTGACATATCTTATTCAGGTCAGTACTAAATGAACAATAACATGCATTTTGTATGATTCCTCTTGTTTTGGTAAAGTAATTAACATTTTGCAGATTCTGCAAGATGTATGTAAACTTTTGACTTCAACTGTATAAAGATCTGATTAATATGTCATCAGTTATTTACTTTTTGATGACCTCTAGCATGAACGATTTAACTATATTACATTTTTCAAAAGTTTGGTGTATTTTTTTATTAATAAAAAAGTGACAGAAAAGAGAACTCAGATCTGGAAATTCATACTTTTATAGAAATTTTTGAGAGGCTAGTAATTGTCTTGAGGTATAGTGCTATTCATGAAAATGAATTTCACACATTACTGTATTCCCTTTGCACATTTACTACTCAAAAAGTATCAAGATCTGAAAAATATATCATCAGTTATTTACTTTTTGATGACCTCCATTATGAAATATTTAACGATATTCGTGTTTTTCTACTGTAAACATCTGGTAATTAGAAGATTCGTAGAGTTGATCAGCCTCGATTTAGCTCGATTTGTCTGCTCCTCTCTATGGTTTTAATAGGTTGTTGGGCCCCTCACAGTTTGTGTGGTCCCTATGGTGAGACCGAGAAACCAAGCAGGCATAGGATGGGTAGATGTCAGATCTTCATGTGGGAACCTCAGACGTCAAAATCCCAGATATCCCACCCTAATCTCCAGCAAAACATTTTGTTTTTCCTCTTTCTCTCTCTTCGGTCCCTCTCTCTCTTTCCTTTCCTCCCTCCACCCATTTAGGGCTTTAATTTTTATTCATGGGGTGTGAAGGGGTTGAGACGGGGGTGTGGGGACAGGATCGGGATGGAAGGGGATAACTCCTTGAGCTGGGTCCAGGGCTCAGACCAGCACTGCTGACAATGGCCTCAGTGTTGTGCTGGGTGTTGTGAGCAGGCCGTTTGGACATTCTTCCCCTGTCAGTGGAAGCAGATCTGGGAGGTAGCGGTGCCCAGGATTACCATCTCATTAATAGCAGCCATGACTTTTGTTCAAAGATCGACTTGTGTAATGTTGCCGTGTGGATGATGGGTAATCCGCTGAAGCTGCAGCTGTAGGGGAAACTGGACACACACACAAACACACACACATTGGGACTATACAATGTGAAATTGTATGAAAGAGGCATTGAAAACATACATAAAATTATAGACGTCGATATTGACAGACAAACTGACCGTCAAACAAAAAACAACCTAAAAAGCCATTTTAATATCAAAATTGCATTGCAGAAATTATGAGGCAGCTTGACTGGGGAAAGACAGTAGCGGTCAGTGGTCATATATGGAGTTCAACCGACCCCTCGTCTGTTAAAATAACATGCTGTCTCTCCTCTCTGAAGATCAGTCGTCTGAGGCAGAGAGGTGGTCTGCCAATGACTCTGAATCAGATCTGAACTTGGGTGGCAATCTGAAATACATGTATATTAATCTAAGTAATACAGCATGTAAAAAAAAAAATCGAAATTCAAGTGCCATCACTCAGTTTGAACTCGCAGAACTTAGTAGATGTGGGGGAGGGCAGTTTTAAAGACAAATGATACCTTTCCATTATAACAGTTTATTTTAAGGTCAGATTCTCATTAGTTGCTTATTTGCATACATATTAATATCATATTGGCTGTTTGTTAGTACTTATAAAGCACACATTAATGCCTTATTCTGTATGAACATGTTCTAGATCCCTTAACCCAACCCAATACCTAAGCTAAACAACTACCTTACTAACTATTAATAAGCAGCATAAACTTAACAACTACCTCACTAACTATTAATAAGCAACAAATAAGGAGTTTATTGAGGGGAAACTCTTAAACGTGAATGTGTTCCCTATTCTAAAATGTTACTAAATTTGTTTTATTTATTTGTCTGTTTATTTATTTATTTATAAAAAACTTTTAATTAAAAAGTAAAATGTAACATGAGTAAATGGAGGATTTTACATTATTAAGAATATTGATTTTTTTTTTTACTTCATTACTTGAAATATTAGAGCATTAAATCAGGTTAAACTGAATTTGTTGCTGCTCTCTAAGAATGTTTCTTCCATATCTATATAACATTTTGCATACTGCACTAAGTGATATATTCTTCCTGGGGCAAAGTGAAGTTTTTTGAAGTCTTGTGATATCAGTAAAAAAAAAAAACTTATTTCAAGCAGATCATGTTCTAAAGCATTAGCAAATTTATTTTCAGTCTGAGTCTACGTCTAAGATGGATCAATTTAGGTTTTGAATTTCTTTTTTCAGCTTTACTAGCAAATCAACTTAAGAGCCATGTGCCCCCTAATGGGTATAAAAGAGACACTCATGTAAAATACCTTGAAGGGCTTATTTTTAAAAACAAAGGCAAAAGCTGCTAATTTTTATACAGTTTGTATAATAGATATAAAAACTAACTAGCTTTTTTCAGTTTCTAGTACATTTTTTATTTGATTATTTTACTATTTATTGCTATTTTATTTGACATTATTACTATTTACTACTAGTTTATTTTATTATTATAATTTTTTTGTTTGTTTGTTTTTTAGTTTTTCAATTCAAATGAAATGTCATGTCCAAGTGTTCACTTCACTTATAGAGGTAGCTAACATAGAATTTAAAAAATTTTTTTTTAACTTTTTAAAATGGAAAATTTTAGTGAGTTTATGAGTTTGAATTTCTGTGGATCTTCGAATTACAGTGGATCTTTAACTCATTCCATTTTTTAGTTTGAGTGTCTGTGAAACGCTAGTGTGTTTATTTGGCTTTACGCCAAAGTCACGTCCTGCTGTGTTCGTTTTTTGGCAGGGCTGTTATACATGGGAGTCCTGCTGAGATGTCCGTGGCTGGGTCACAAGGTCTCTTCCCTCGGCATCCAAGAGGTCCACTAATAGACTCAACCACTGAATATGATGAATTCTCAGTATTTAGCTCTATATTTGTTCTGCTGTGACAAGCAGTTTGGCAAATGGAGACTCACTCTTTGTTTAGTAGCATTTTTCAGGAACTTTTCTCACAGAGCTTTTAGTAAACACTTATTTTACCATACAGTCATGGCCTATTGCTATTCCTGGCTCATTCAGGTCAGATTAACTGTTGAAAAGAGCAGTCAGTCTTGAGAAAATCCTGAAGGCACGTTCACGTTGTCATCGACACAATGCACAAACACAAACATAATGCCTCTTGCAGTCAGTGTCTCCGCCGTTTGTCTCTTTGAACTGCTATCAACATTATTTGAAGAGTCTGTGTCTTTTAAATCTCACCATCTTTCTCTGTCCCTCCTTCCTATTTCTTCTTTTACACAGTGCGACTAACTCTGCTCTAGCCTGTGACCTCTCAAGCCAGCAGTCCGCCCACCTCGTTCGGACTGTGGCCCTAAGATGGCCCAGACCGCTGCCCTAAAGCCTAGGGAGTGGTTGTCCTCTCTTGTGCACAAAAGAACCACAGCTATCCGCTCAGCCAAGTCCGGCCCCCATCAACCCATCCAAGCGCACAGGGAACACATTAGCCTAGGCTGGGCTTTGTGCATCTGGCTTTTCTCATGTGCTAACACTTCAAGATCGTCAGGTGTCTGCCTGGTTTGACCACTCCAGTTGCTCTCAAAGCGGTCAGCGCAGCAAGGCCGTTTCCATGCCAGGTCTTGTAGCTCTCCCTGTCCGCCACTCAAGTGAGAACGGCACAAAGCGGATCGCTCGTTCTTAGGGTTTCTCAGTGCTTCTCTTGTATAATAAAAGATCTAAAAACCAAAGTTATGGCCTCAAAGACTTTTTCTTTTTGCTGCTTCTTGCTCCCTCAGGAAAGGAGTTCCCAGCCTATCAATGTGTTTGGTGTATGGAGCCTGAGAGAGCTGTTGGCACGGTGAAGATCTGAGGCTGTTGCTTTTCTATGGTCTACTGCACGCTTGTTTAGATGTTCCCATGCCTGCTTCACTTTTAGCTACACTGCTATGTATCTCTGTTGCTCAGTTAGTGGTGCTTGCAACCATTACTATTATTATTGCACATATAGTGTTTTAGCCTTAATTATTAAACTTGTGACTCGTCCTGCAAAATATTTTTGCTACTTAAATAACAAAATTCCAGAGACTTGCATTGAAGGAGGGACCCAGTCATATCTAGAGATCAGAATATCATGGTGGTGTGTTTTTTTTTTAGTTTCCATAGACTCTTTATAGGACTCTTTTTATTCTTTTCTTTAGATTTTTTACATATAGGTTAATTATTATTTTCAAATATTATTTAAGATAAAATAATTTTTCCCAATATCATGAATGTTTAAATCATGAATTTTGAAGCCTTTAGGCATTATAACATAATTTTTTTTTTTCATTTTTAAAAATGAATAAAATAATAGATGATAAATTAAAAAGTAAATATGATTTATTCATTTATTTACTAATGATTATTTTTCAATATTAATATTAAATATTCCTGGTATTTTTAAGAAATGTGATGTTCTTTGCACATGAACTAAAAAATCTTCAGGGGATACTTTTTTATTTCCCTTTTTCTTTTTTTTCTTTAAGTAAATGACTTGGTGCTTATTGGTCATATCACACCAATTTTGATTTTAAAGTTCAGTGCATTTTTAAACAAAATTTCATTGCTTAATAATAAAAGATTATACCAAGCTACTCCATAGACGTTTGGATTTCTCTAGACTTTTACACCAGCTTTGAATTTATGCCCCACCAACAATAAAAAAATTAATTAATATGAAATAAATTGCATGAAATAAAATTGCATGATGTTGATTGTGGAAGAAATGTATTCTCGTCATTGCCTGTGTTAATTGCATTTTGCATCATGTAATTGGTCTTTTAATGATTCAGGCTCTTAGGCTCTTCTACCTGTCATCTATTTTTATATCAACCCTCAACCCTTGTCTCTTTCCTTTAACAACTTGTCTTCTCCGTTCTATGCCTCTCCCATATCTTTCTCTTTTCTTTCTTGTCTGTGAACTAAACATGTTTTTATGGTGACCTGAGTTAAGAGTCCTGAACACTTCCAAACTGTTCTCCCCATGTGAGAAACGCCTCCATTTCTATAAATTATTTATCTATTTATTTACTCTCGTCCCTCCCCTCCTTATGCTGTTTTTGCAGCTCTTCCTTTGACCCTTTTGTGATTTCTCTCCCACCCTTTTTTCATTATTTTCTACATCACCCTCTTTTATCTCTCTATTCATTTTTTGGCTGGAATATGGCGTCAGGCCTAAAAGGAGTCGTGGTCTGAATGGGGGGCATCGCGAGTGGATTTGCATAATCTGTGGCGTGGCACTGGTGCACAGACACAGAGAGAGACGGTGCCAACCAGTCCAAGGTGAACTGAACTCTCCTCGCCAGCTCAGAGATTAGTGACACTAACAGGCTTTACAGCAGCCGAGTTCACAGAGGGTTTGGCTGACGTATCAGTGCCAACTTCTCTGGCTCCCACAGTGAGCACTGAGTATGTGCGTGTGTGTCTGGTGAGAAACTGTTGCTTCTTTGATCGATTCTTACAAGGCAGAGACAAACGCATACGTGTATGTTCACACATACTGTATCAGTGCCACATATACAATAAGCCCCAAACTGAACTGAAGAAACCTACTGAAGCTCCAGAGAAGTTTAGTCTTCTAGATTCAATGTTTAGCAATAACTTAATGATTTTGTTTCAAAAGTGTTTTCAAACTATCTACCACCTGTAAATCAGACTTGAATAATGTGAACTGCTCGGGAGAGCGGGGATAATTGCGTCTTTTCTGTTTTTTGCTCATTTAAGGTGCGGTCAGATTAGCTAAATTTCACATTGCAAAAAAGGTCCATTGTCTATTGTCAGTAGCGTAGAGATGTATGACGCAAAGCTCACACAGAAGCCAATTTCAAACCAAGCAGCTTTCTGTTGGTCAATGGAGAGAATTTGCGAAATAAGCACACAATTTCAGATTGCATGGATTCCTATAGAAATTACCAAACCAAATATTTACCGAACAATGGTAAATGTGACCACAGCTTTACACTGAAAGCCTAAAACAATTCAATAAAACATAATTTATTAAGTACAATTAAAAGTACACAAAGGTCAATGTTACATTCAAAACACATATGCTCTATAAGTGTAACTGTATGTCAATGAATGAAAAAGCTATTCAATATATTTAGTAAAAATATATACTAATATTAGTCAGTACATCAAACATCGTTAAACACTGAATGCATCCTCAGATTATTAATGGTAGACTTTAATAACAACACCTGGCAAACAAAATGACATATACATGTTTTAATCAACTTTAAGCCCCAACGATATACTGTTTAAGCCAAATTAGAATATTAGAATGATTTCTGAAGGATCATGTGACACTGAAGACTGGAGTAATTCAGCTTTGCCATTTTGCCAGGAATAAATTACATTTGAAAATATAGTTATTTAAAATTTTAAATTGTAATATTTCACAATATTACAGTTTTTTTTATTTTACTATATTTTCAAACAAACAAATAAATGCAGTCTTGTTAAGCATAAGAGACCCTCTTTCAAACTTCTTTCAAAAATATCTGAGTGACCCCACATTTTTTGAAAGAGTGTATAGTGTATTTAGTGTATATAGAACTATGTATATTATATAGTTCCATAAAAAATATAACCTAACCTAATAAATGTAATATTTTAATACAGCACATGCTTTATTGTAAATATAATTATGTACCTAAAACCAAAATTTATGTAACCTTTTTATTTAAATATCCATGTTTAACAAAACCGAGTGGAGATCAGGGTTGTATGATGCAGACGCTGTCAGATCCCCTTATAGTGTGTTTTCTCACAGTACTGTCCTTTCTTTAGGCATGACACTGTGTTTGTGTATTTGTGTAAGAAAAACTGTTGCTTCTGTGCTGTTGGTTGCCAAGTTTTAGCTTAAATGCAGCTCGAATAAATAAGGTGGGGGGGGGGGGGGGGGTGTGGGGGGCTTTAAAGGGTACAGTGTTTGCATTCTTCTAAGAATTTGAGGTGTATACTTTACATTCATGAATCCCACTATTCTCTCCCTTTCCCTCTTACCATCATTTATCCCTCTGTCCTTGTTTGTCATTCTTTCTCTCGCCCTGCTCAGGTTAGAGCTCCATCCTGAGGTAACACGTGGAGAGGTCCGGAGGTTGTGGTCCTCATTGTTCACTCAGCAGGATGGATCTGTGGACTTTCAACAGTTTATACGTCACTTTGGCCCATCTCCCAAATCCTGCTGTTACCCCAATGCCAAGCACAATCCCCCCAAACGTGGAGACAATGACTTCATGCGCCTCTCCAAAAGACTCAACTGCGTCTCAGATATATTAGTGGATGCTCTACGGGCCAAGGTGGGGGTGTGGAGGAAATACCTTAGGATGGTGTAAAGTTCTTTGAGCTGAGATATGATTATGTTATTTAAACAATTTTATGAACCGGTTTCTCTCTCACAAACAGGTGGAGTTGTCTGTTTCTGAGCTCTGGACGGAGTTCTCCGAAATTGATTTTTCTGGAACAGGTTTTGTTAGCAGTGATGAATTTAAAGACATCCTTATGAGTCTCTGTGTTCATCTCAGCCAGTATGAGTGTGATCTGTTGGCCAAGAAGTTTGACATCAACCATGATGGCAGGTAGATACACTTACATTAGGGAAGACCAAAACAGATAAATAAATAAATCAAGACATCCATGCATAAATAAATATATAAATGGGTGAACAAGGAGATGTGATATGATTATCTAACACTTTACATGAAGCCTTTATATATTTCGCAGTATTAAAGTATTTTAATGCATTAATTATGTCTTGAAATGCACCTAATGCTTTTTGATATCGTTATACCTGCAACCACATTACACATTATAATGCATTTCTAATAATTATTACACCTTTAGAAAGTATAAAGCATTAAAACATGCACGACAAGCAATTCATTTCAGATTTAACAAGGAATTTGCAAATATTCAAATGCATTTTATCTTTAGTTACAGTTATTTATGAAAGGATATAATGCATTACAATGTACATCATGAATATCTTTAAAATGTATTAAACAAAAAGGCTTCAAGTGTTACTAAATAAACAAATTTGATCATTAAATGTGTTCAAGACCCTTCTTCAGCTTCACATTTTGTATAGTGCATAATAAAGTATATTTGTGAATAAAATGACTGATCATTTGTGTCTAAAACCAACAATGTTTTATCCATTGCAAGTAAATTGGCATGAACAATTGTGGAAGAATATAATCATATTTGTAACACTTTATAGGGGCCAGTTCTCACTATTAGCTAGTTGCTTATTAGCATGCCTATTATTAACATATTGTCTGTTTATTAGTGCTTATAAAGCACATATTCTGCATGACCATATTTTACATCCCTAATCCTTCCCAATACCTAAACTTAACTATTAATAAGCAGCAAATTAGGAGTTATTGAGGCAAAAGTTGTAGTTAATGGTTTGCTAATAGGAAGAATTTGACCTTAAAATAAAGTGTGACCATAATATTATTGGTCTTGAAGCACTGGAAACACAAGTATCAAGATGTGTTTTTGTGATGAATGACTTCTTTTGAATTTGGATCAAGCCTATCAAACTTAAATATCTGGAATACATTTTATAGAGAATTCATAAGATGACATAACTGAGCATTTCATGTCCTCATGGATTTTTTTTTTCTTGTCATTTCAGCGTGTCCTACACAGAATTCCTCAAGCCTTTTCTATCCCAGAGTCAAATATGGAAGCATGGATCCAACATGGCAGCTGCTCTGCAGACTCCCAGAGAAACTAAAGAAGTTGCCACTCCGGAAACATTAAGTCGCAAGATCAGGAAAAAGGTTATGCATTGTTTATAGGTGATAATATGTGTGAACGAATGTGAAAATGTTTACATTTTCCTCTTGTGTTTTGGTTTTGTAGCTCCAGCGTAAGGCCAGGGCTCTTAGCAAGGCCTGTGCCCGGCTCGATGGCTCTAGCACTGGGCTTCTGTCTGCAGCTGAGCTGGGTGCTGTGCTACAGCTGTTTGGAGTGTGTCAGAGCCAGGAAGAGCTGAGGAGTGTGCTCTCTACCCTTCACAAACACCCGTCTGGACTCCTGGACTACCGCCCGCTGCTAATGGACAAACACAGGACATCCAGTCACAACCAGCAGACCAAGCACCAGCTCAGCCATAGGAGTCAATAGGTCAGAGGTTTAAAACAAATTTTAGCTACATTGAGAAATGCAAGATACTATTTCAACTAAACATATTAACCCAACTGGCTTCATCCATAAATAAAGACGCACAATCAATATTCAAGTTATAATCATGACATTATTATTGTATTGCTTTATATTAGATTTGGTTAGAGTCAACTGAATTGTATTTCATTGCTTTACAGTGTAGTGTGTGTTCATGTTCATGTCAAATAAAAAGAGTTTGTCAACTGATTTTATTGCAAATTGATTTACATTGTAATTGCACTAAACTGAATTTGCTTTCAGTCTCTTAGATATGAAATACTTTTGTGACATGCTATACTACTTCTAAAACATATTTTCAACAACCTTTTGAACAAGATTTTGCATATTATTTGTACTATATAAATTTTTCGCAGGACTGTTTAAAATTAACTAGTAAATCCAAAAATGTTTTTTGCACATTTTGCGGCAAAACTGTTTAAACTGAGTCTGGTGCTGATTTTTAATTCTTTGCTTAAATTTGATGTTAAGATAGATGAGTGAAAGCAAGAAGAGTGTTTTTTTTAATATGAATGTAAAAATTTATTTGTTTCTAAATACATATTATTTAAGGAGATTTTTGAGATGCAGTTTTATTTTAAAATCTTATCAAGTAAAATTTGGACTACTATAGGTCTGAGAAGGCTCTCAGGCTGATCTCCTCTGCTTATGTCATTTGTAAAAGTGTCAATCATACTGAGTGAACACGGAAATATGAACCACCACACTACCACACTGGTGTTTCATGTGCCTCCCCACAGTGTCAGATGTGTTTAGTTTAGAAAAGACCCGCAGTTTTCTCAACAAAATCGCTTGTGTATTAAGAAAACTTCTGATGAGAAGAAACTTTCTTGGCTGCTTTCTTTGGCATTTTAAGATATTTTACATGACAATAGAATAAAATCCTAAGCCATTTTAGCTCTGCTTCATTTGTTTTGATTCATACTGTGTGATGAAGCTAAAGAACTCTAATTTTACCAGCTTTTCTCCCTCCGCTTAACACAGTGTTCCCTCTGCGGATTTAAACTAATATTGGCTTGTTGGTCACTCAGTGCTCTTTCATCGCTTTCGTCTTTCATGGCATTATCGTTTTTCCCATCTGCATGCCCTCTTTGTCTTCTATTCCTCTTCTCTCCTCTTTTCCGCACCAACGTTTTGAACACAGTTCAAGTTTCAGTTTGGCAAACAGCTTGTGTTATCCACCCAATCATCCGTTCATCCATCCATGTATCTGTCTGTTCATCCATCAATTACTTGCTCTGACAGTTGGATGACAGGCACCTGCGTTTTTCTTCCCAAAAGTGCTGCTAATGTAGGTGTTTGTGTTGTTCATGCACAAAGACAGATCCTAGATTTCACTTTGGACATCGGAGGGTCTTGGTGAGCTTTGATGCATCCACTATCATCAAAACTTTTTTTATTCAGTTAAAACTTTGAGCAAGGATGCATTAAACTGATAAAAAATGACAGTAAAGTAGGGCTGTCAAAATGGCTGAAAAACTAAATTCAAATTTTGTACTTAAATATTATCAATATTCGAATTTAAAAGTCATAATTTCAGTTAGGGGTGAAAAAAGCTTTTGGGTTCTCTCCTGAGGCCACAAGAGGGCGGATTGAACAACATATTATGCATGTTTCTTCAAAGCATAATAAAATAACATTATTATCTTTGAAAAAAGTGCATAATGTTTAAAATAATGTTTATAAACCTTAAATAATTAAAATTGCTTAAACAATTAGAAACAAAACAGAATCATGCATGTATGTATAGTTTAATACAAAGGACCGAAAACCAATCACAAAGAGTACTTTCTTAATTTAAAACAGTCTTGAGACATGTATTTAAAATGTTGAACTTACATTAATTTCACATGGCTTTCTAAACATGTGTCTCTCTTGTGCAAGATGCAAGTGCAATGGTGATAGATGTCCCTCTAGAAAATGTGATAAATATGCTTTCTGTGTGAACGGTTGGGTTTCGGTTTTGACGTAAACAACATAATCTCTGCATTGATGTTATTTTTTCACGCAATATTTTAATGAACAATGTAGCAGCGCAGCATCTAGTGGGTTCAACTGGATAGGCTAAGACAAACATTAAAATTCAATGAAACTTACATCATCATCACATCTCGTGCACCACTGATAAGGCTGCCTGGTGCACACCTAAAATTCGAATGCAACGTTTTTGCATTCGAATGTGGATTTTTATTTTAAATTCGACAAATATTCGAAATTCGATTTTTTTTACAGCCCTACAGTAAAGACATCTATAATTATAAAAAAATATATATTTCAAGTAAATTCTGTTTTAAAAAATCCTGATAAAATTTACAGTTTCCACATAAATATTAGACAGCACAAGTGTTTTCAGCAAGAAATGTTTCATGCGCACCAATTTAGAATATTAGAGTGATTTCAGAAGGATGTGACACTGAAGACTAGAGTAATGGCAGCTGAAAATTTGGCTTTGCCATCAAAAGAAATAAATGACATTTTAAAATATATTTGAATAGGAAACAGATTTGAAAGTATAATAATAATTTACAATATTATATTATATTAATTAAATTCAGCCTTGGTGAGCATTAGAGACTTCTTTCAAAAATAAATAAATGATACAAAATAATATTTTAAGATAATATTAAAAATATATAAATATAATAAAATAATGCATCTGAGTGTGTGGTTGTGTCCTGCATCCCAATCTCATGCCTGAATTCTGGCCCTCTGTTTAGGAGCTTTGATTTCAAGGGGCTGATTATTTTTCTTCAGGCCCACTCAAGGATGAAGCCCAAGGAACCCAAAATTGTCTTCCTTTCAGCTCCATCACAATGGAGCAACCCCCACCAATGTACCACAATCTCCCTCCTTGTCCAGAATCCCTCTCGCTCCCTTTTCTCTTTCCTTGCGCTTTTTTGGAAGCTGGTGCCATACAACTTACTTAAAGAAGGACTTAACGGCGATGGGATGAATTCAGGCTTTGAGAAGGAGGGGGTCCCGGGCATAAGTCACCTATCAGGACAGAATCACACCTGTTTTGTACCCATCATGATATTCTAGGACAGTATGTCCCTTTAGCTCTTTATCTTTATTTCTCTCTCAGGTGTCCTGTTTGAGGAGATCTGAGTGATACTGGTTTCTGGTAGTATTTGGGGTGTCAGAAGCGTGCGGGACGGGGGTGGAGAGGGGTGTGGCTCGCTTCTTCTATGCCATTGTAGAGGCCAAAGAGAGTAAACCCTCTACAGTTAAAGAGGGAGGGACACAAGTGCCAACATCTCAGAAACAATCAGCGTCATGGCTGACTGGAACCTGGTAAAATTATATGCAATGTGGGTAGAGTTCTTTTATTTTCCACTATGGTGGCCATCTTTCCCTTAAGCTAATCCTGGCCACAGTGAACAACTGTCTGTCTGATTTGCTTAAGTCAAGTATGGAAATGGCACATATTGTCCAGACTGATTCACATATCACATATATAACGGCACTGTGTAATACGGCTTTAGCATATATCGCTGTGCATTATTTACAGTCAATATTCTTGTGCTTTCACAATGTTTCACTATGATCTTCTCCGAGCTAGGTGATGTCACTCCCTTGAATATGATGTCAGAAAAATACAAACATTATTTTAAAAAGGGAAAATGACGATGAACATGCAGTGATAAATATTGTCTCAGAAAATGCCAAGGATTTTAGAAAAAATACTACATACGTCACCATTTAGAATATAAGTTTGAGGAAATTTGTAATGTTTTCAACATTGATAATAATAATAGAAAGAAATTAGCAGCAAATCAGCATATTAGAATGGTTTCAGAAGAATCATGTGACGCTAAAGACTGTAACAACAATTCAGCTTTGCCATTACAGACTTGAATAGCATCTTAAAATACATAATAATAAAATGTTATTTTAAATAGTAAAATTAAATTAAATTAAATAAACACACTGTAAAAGTGAATTACTCTTGTGGTTTATATAAGCCATTAAAGTGTAATGGTAATGAATAGGTTCATTTAAAATGGTTCTTTTGAATTACTAACAGCTTTATATGTCAACAGTTTTTAAATAAATTAAATAATGTGTTACTTTTATTAGTAGTAAAATATTAAGAATTACGGGGAAATTTGTTTTTGTATGCACAAGGAACGTTTAATTGATGTAGAAAATTGTGAAATGTTGTATGTTTGTGAGAGAGAGGAAAGGGAAAGACTGACATCACAAGAATAAGTTTGTGAACCCTTAGGGTTTTCTGCATTGCTTATTCATGAATAAGGTTTTGTTTACACAACTGGTTTTGTTAAGGTCACAAACACCAAAATCTCTTCCCAACACTGTGAAGCATGATGGAAGAGGCATCTAACTCACAAACACAGCCTGACTTAACTAATAACACAGAACACAGAGTTTTGCTGAAGACATTGAGTAGGTGTGGAATGTAACTGAAGCGCTGTGTTTCGACAGTCAATCAAGGAGATGAGATAAATGAAAGCACACAAAGCCTGCTGACAAATCTCGAGAAAGATGGGTTAGTGTGAACTATGCCTCAATCCCAAAAGCTTTCATAAGACCTTAAAAAAGCATTACAGAGATGCACAAAGCTGGGAAAGGCTAAAAAACATTGCTAAAGGCCTGGGTGTTCACAAATCCATGGTAGGATACTCTGTCTACAAATGTAGAAAATTATTGCTACTCTCCCTAACAGTGGGCGTCCTACAAAGCTGGAAAAAAAATATTTGGGGCCAAAAACGGCTTTGTTCAGAGGAAAAAGGGCACTGCACACAAACACCAAAACCTCTTCCCAACACTGTGAAGCATGATGGAAGCAGCATCATGGTTTAGTGCTTGTTTGTGTGTTATTAGTTTAGTCAGTTTGTATTTGTCTGTATAATGGTGACTTGGATTAAGATAAAACTAATTTTATGAGTAAGCATTGCAGAAATGCAGATATTTTTAAATTGTTCACAAACTAATTTCTGCGACTGTAGCCTATATGAACACTGCCTCTGTTAAAATTGCCTGTGTTAAAACATCTTACATCCATTACACTCCCTCCCTAGAATACTTAGTATTTAGCAGTTTGATTTGTTATTTGCATCCTATTTAAATATAGGTGGAAGAGACACTGGGATAGGATGGGGGGCTGGATTTGTGTCCAAATGGATTCCCCTAAAAAGAGGCTTATTGTCAATCAAGGGGTCTCAGGCCAGCAGACCATTACGCCAAGGGTTAATCTTAAGAGACAATACAGTCTAGAAAGACAAATTTAGTCATGGTATCTTCATAAGAATTTGTGCATGTCACAACTGAAATTAAGAATATGATTGTTGCGCAATAAAATATTTGAATGAGATTTGAATGTATCATATAAGGTTACATTCTCATAAAAAGTTTTATTTATTTTTCATTTTATTTAATTTCATTATTCATGATAAAAATGTGCCTACAATTTTCCTCTTCTAACTTATCATAACGCAATGCTACTTCAGAACCATAGTGGATGCATAAATGTTCTCTAAACCTATTTGCTATCCTATGCTCAGTTCAAAATATCAGAACAAATAAAAATGTGCTTGTTTTCTTACAATGTTACAATATTTGAAAAGAGCTGGACAGATTTTAAATGCATAATACAATTTGGCCTGTTAAGAGAACTTGATTTATATAAACCATCATAGTGTCTACTTCCATTATTGTTTTGGCTCAAATTTAGCTCAAATGATGAATTAGGCTATTTAGTTTATTTATTAAAAAGAGCGCATAGGTTTGTGTTTGTTATCTGAATATAAGCGGCTTCAGAAGATCCCAAAGAGAACACACTACATCAACTATTCCTAGGATAAAGAACTTCCAACATCGTGCCAAACACAGAATCTTATTCAAACATCATTTATTTCATGATACATCTACTTATTAAAATAAAACATGTACACATATAAATTAAGGACATCTGCAGACGTATTTACAGAGCAGCGTGTTGTGCATTGTGTAAGCTGAAGGCATTGTGTGGGTGTGAGTGCCCGATGAAGTTCATGTAATGGTGATCGAGTCCCTGAACCGGTGACAAGTACCCGCTGTGCTGAGACATCGCTGGGTACGCGAGCGCGGGGTTCCGCGCCGAGCTGTGCCAGGAAAAGTGTCCGGGAGGGCTCTGCTGAAACACTGACTCGGATGGACTTGGACTCTGGTACTCCAGCTGGCACAGAAGGTCCGTAGGGTCTGGAGAGATGGTACCTAACGAGCCGAACACGGGCTCGGTAACGACTTTGGACTGCAGGAAGGCGAGGATCCGTGCGTACTTGGTGTCTTTGGTCTCCATTCGCTCCACGGTGGTCAGATAGTGAACGAGGTTCTTCATGCACTCGTGATAGCCGTAGTGAAAGTAATTCGCAAACTCTGTCAGCAATTCTCCTGCGAAAACAAAGAACGTTGTTAGAGATCTGCAGGGAAGAAAGGGCTGGATTTGATGTTTTAAAAAGTGAATAATTTGACTTTCACGATGTGAGCGAGGAACCGTATTTAAATGTGTTAATAGATGTATTTCACTAAATTCATTTTAAAGTATGTTAAGTGGTTTCTCGGTATTTCTCACACACCTTTTTCTCTCCCGCGCGGGAAGTCTGCGGAGTGGAGCGCGCGCAGATACTGCACTGTCATTTCCAGGATTTCTGCTTTCTCGAGTTTCCCAGAATTCTGTTTTAATATACGAAGTCTGTCGGTCATCATATAAACACTAACAATTAATGCAGACATTGACACTTAGCGCACTTAAACTCATTGAATGTTTCAGCTGCGCACCTGTTTAGCCAGTGCCATAGGAACTGTCTTTCCCAGCTCGTTTAGACATCTGTTGATTCGATCTCTTCTTCTTTTCTCAATGACCTTGTGAGAAACAGGAGTTTTCTGTGGGAATAGAAAATAATAAGATAATAGTGAGTTAAGGGATGAAAAGTGCCACTACCAAACACAAAATTAGCTTGGTTGCATCGTGTGCTGGATACGTTTTACTAAATGCAAAAAGCAATCAACGAATATGAAGTCATAATGAAACTCGGGAAGATAACCTATTCGTTCGATAAAATACATCGAACGAATATAGGCCCACATAAGATATGAATCATATGGAGAGCCGCGCTGCGCTCTCTTTCCCTGCGCGCAAAGCATACATAGCCTACATGGCGGAAAGCGCCTTTACATCGCAATAAAGTGAATACATATAATTCATTTAATTAGCATAAAACACTGACTTGCATTAAATTCAAGACCAGGGAAATCAAGTAATAGCTACCGGTCTATAGCCTACCCTAATATAGTCTTCTGAAAATGCGCGCGAGCAATACTGAACATGCTTGTTTCGGTAGAAAATATCAATATTGTGAAATTCTGGAAAAAGCTGCATCACGCGAAACATGTTAATTAGTTATAATAGCGGTAGAAAAATCTAAATAAAACATTCAAGGAGTATTTGGACTGCATGCAGTTACTGGCATCATGTGTGCGCCACTAAAGTATCCACATACCTTGCGATCCTTCATCTTAGACGCCATCATTTGATAAAAATAAACTAGGGGAAAATGATAGAATTGTGAAACTATTGTAGCTAGACTAGTAGGTAATGCTTGTTTCGGTAGAAAATATCAATATTGTGAAATTCTGGAAAAAGCTGACATCACGCGAAACATGTTAATTAGTTATAATAGCGGTAGAAAAATCTAAATAAAACATTCAAGGAGTATTTGGACTGCATGCAGTTACTGGCATCATGTGTGCGCCACTAAAGTATCCACATACCTTGCGATCCTTCATCTTAGACGCCATCATTTGATAAAAATAAACTAGGGGAAAATGATAGAATTGTGAAACTATTGTAGCTAGACTAGTAGGTTCTCCTGTTTCCAGACGCTTCAGACTGAGATGAGCTGACTGGAAGCAGCCGCTTATAAAGCGCTGGCGCATTCATGGCCCTAATTATTCCATAGGATTAAAGGCGAGCTTTTGGTTAATGTGTGCACTTAGGATCAGTTAAAGAAATAGTCAAACCTGAAGCTGTGGGCTAGCGGGGGGCAGACCTACTTTGTTAATCCACGTGGCCTATCTAAAGACACGTGATAGGTTGTAGAATATTATTTGCAGAGTAACAAGCCTTGCTGGAGATGACTCGCGAGCGAGCGCAACGCAGCGCGCGCAATGAAAACAAAGCCCCCGGAACAAGGCGTCTCTTTCTGTTCCACGTCGCGTTTCTCACACGATCGCCTGTTTTTGGGTCCCAGCAAGCCATCTTAACTTTCATCCCAAGCCCGTCTCAGGTTTAAAGCCTGTCTACTGTTATTATAGTAATTAAGTAAGCACATAATAGGCTGTTCCGCCGAGTTCAGGGGAGACCTTTTGGAGACGGAGTCCCCCCGTTTGTTCGCGGCGTTTCTCACACGACTTGGTGACACGTCCATCTTTCATGGGCTATGGCCGGGTTTTTGTTTACATTCTCTAGTTTTGTTAGGGGCCTCGGCAGGTGTGGGGACCCGGCCTGGCACACGAGCGGCCCCTCCGACCATGTTAGAGACTCCAGACGTCTTTGGCACACGAGGGTTACCCACCGCTGGATTCCCTTCAGAGGCGCTCAATTTGTATCCTATTATCCTATAAGAAAATGTCTATTGAGCGGAATGAATAGTTTCATTGGCCTAAATTTTAATAATGCAGTGAAAGAAAAGAAAGGAGAAATAAAGAAGAATGCAGCTGGTCCTGACGCGCATTATTCTCCGTCACCTGCGCCTGGAGACCTCTATTCATTTGCCTAATTTCGGTCAACTTAACAAACTTTGGGAGAAATTATTCTGGTATTGTTGTGAAGGGTGAAGCTTTCTGATCGAATTAACAGCATGTTTTGATCCGGTAAATGCCATTAGAAAGAAAGAAACAATTGCGTATTGAGGGGTCTGGGTAACGCGCCAAGTGGCGACGCCAAAGCGCAATTCATGCCACAGGGGACTTTTGTACCGCCACATTGCTCAAGTTTGTGCCCAACAAAGGGCATTATTTTATACTTGAATACATTTCATACAATAATTGGCTGTTTTCATCAAACATATTTTCACAGCAAGGTTAACAACAGGTTTATTGTGTTCTCCCAGGCTCCCAGCCTCGGACTTCATGCGCCAAAACGCCTGGATCTTGTGCTTTTTTTTCCACTGGGAACGTTTTAATCCTGACGGTTGGCTATGCTTTAAAGTGCGATATCGTGTTGCATCGTGGAGGGAAAAATCAAAGATGTGTGGATTTTTTCTTTTTCTTTTAAAGAATTCAAGCCCTTTGGATATCCAAAGCAACTGAGACTTTTTATACAGCGCGCAAAAGAAAAGCACCGGTGAAACAGACGAAAGCATAAAATCCCATTATTATTATTGTTGAATTTACCACAAGATTTTATGCAAACGCTCTTTGGAGCTTTCGGATTCTTAAATTCTGCAATGTGACTATTTATGATCTGTTTTTTTTTGTAAACGTGTGTTGTGCATTGAAGAAGAACAATACGTCAACAGAATTTTCTCCTATCACAATGTAATTTAATTGTCCAACATTACACCAAACAAACCAATACAAAAAAGATTACTGTATTTTAACATCTTAAGAATGAGCTGATATTCCATATTCATGTTTCTTTGGAAGTAACATTTAAAGATCAAAAAGAATTGTACGCAACAAGTTCATCCCATATTTAATACTACTAATGATATACGTTATATAAAAAGATTATAACTACAATTGTGTTTCTCAAACGCCTGATTTTAAATGTTTTTACACATTCCTGATGTATTTTCATACAAATATTACACTGCGTAAAATATTCACATGCAAACTTTTTTTTATCGTTATACAGATAATTGTCGATATGTATTATAAAATTATAAAATATATTATAACATGTAAAATGTATATTTTGTACTTTATTAAGAGTAAAAACTACAAAATAACCAAACTCATTTTTAAAAATGCTGATATTTATGACTGTCATGTTAGGCTGCAAAATAAAACAATTTAAACGCCCTCTGCAGGACAAGATGGTTTTTTTTCTGAATTACAAGACTTATTATTATTGTTTTTTGTTTTGTTTTTTCATTTCCATACACAGGTAATTAATATTAGGCCTATAAAACGTTTGGAATTATAATACTAATACAAAAATACTAATAAATTGAATAATGAATGGACAAAAATATTTGTATATTTTATAAAAATGTATGAGTCTGGGTAAAGGTGTTTGTATCCGATTAAAGTCATAAAATCTACTAATTGTCGTATCAATGTTTCATTGCAGTGCCATATAGCTGTTTAAAGCAGTATAAACACGCTTCTGTATGGGGATCACAGTCTTAAAGAGGGGCTACCTGAAAGCTGAACTCTGTCTGTAAGGATCTATCCATGTGAAAGAGAATTAGAGGAGCACAGTCATGCATGTCACCCTGATTACAACAGTACAGTTCGCCTTATTTCCCAACCAACCTAAGACTTTTTCACAGACACACTAACCAGTCTGGGCTTTTTCGGACAGGAGGGGATGCTTTCGCTTGTGTGAAGGGTTGCCACGGCAAATCTTTTAAAGCATGGTTTAAAAAGTCCTGCTCATTGCCCTGTGCTACTTCCTTTACACTTTACACTTTTTTCTGTCTTTTTTTGAAACTTTTGATAGATAAAACATCACTTTTTTCAAGTGTAATAATTACTTGTGGATTAAAATAAATAAATAGCCTAAATCAATATTGATCATTTAAATGATATTGTTTGCCTGTAATGATCATGACCTTCCCAGAACTTGATTAGAAAACTTATAGTTAACGCAAATGTTTGAAGATGCCTTTTGCCTGACTTAGATTGATAGGTTAATTACTACTAAACCCAAAGCGCCATCCTGTTGAGATTTCAACAAAACGACTTTGAAGCCATTGTCTTAAAAATAATTTGAAATTTGAATTCAGTTCATTAAAAATGTGTATTAATTTGTGCCTTTTTTTATTAGTATGATTGCTTGGGTCAGACAATAGTTTCAACATTATTAACTTATTACTTTTATTAGCTGCAATTGCATCTGCAAGTACCATATAATACGCATACTATAAACTTTTGTCATTTAGTATGTTGCGCACATTTGTTAGATTTGAAATTCCTACGTTGATGGGAAAAAATGTTGATCCTCCAGACGATGTGTTGTCATGCGAGAGCCGGTGACCCGTGGTGACCCCAGGCCAGAGACACACACAATCCTTTAGCTTCGCGCGCCACCGTGAGTCTCCTCTGCATCACTTCACACGAGACATTCAGCATTGTTCGTGCATCACAATAGAGCATCCTTAATATTCAGAAAATCGTCCGAAATCAAATATAAATCTATTGCTCACTGAATACATTTAAAAGGGCGAAACATAGCTTTCCTCGTGTCTCGTTTGTCCCCTCATAAATTTATCCTAAACATGTCATGGCGCCGTCTTGTTCACTAGAGGGAGACATAGCTATTGTCATATGTAGAAGTAAACTAAACTCTTATTGAAAAAAAGAAAGAAAGAAAGAAAGAAAGAAAGAAAGAAAGAAAGAAAGGAAGGAAGGAAGGAAGGACGGAGGAAGGAAGGAAGGAAGGACGGAGGAAGGATGGAGGAAGGAAGGAAGGAAGGAAGGAAGGAGGAAGGAAGCATGGAAGGAAGGATGGAGGAAGGAAGGAAGGAAGGACGGAGGAAGGAAGGAAGGAAGGAAGGACGGAGGAAGGAAGGAAGGAAGGAAGGAAGGAGGAAGGAAGGACGGAAGGAAGGACGGAGGAAGGAAGGAAGGAAGGAAGGAGGGAGGAAGGAAGGAAGGAAGGAAGGACGGAGGAAGGACGGATGGAAGGAAGGGCGGAGGAAGGAAGGAAGGACGGAGGAAGGACGGATGGAAGGAAGGGCGGAGGAAGGAAGGAAGGAAGGAAGGAAGGAGGAAGGAGCACTTTTGATACACTTCTCAGATCTCATATTTCGTATCTAAGCAGCCAGATAGTTTAACCTTGATCATTTATGTGGAAGAGTTTTTCATTTTTCATTGGGAGTGAAAAATGAAGTGCATAAATTGTAGGCTAATAAAGGTAATTACTAGGAATAAAGTTTATTAAAACACAAAAAGGTTGTTATATAGGTTATGTTCAACAGAGAAGGCGTAATTATTGATCATGCAGCTAGACTAATGGCACTTATATAAACTTGTCTCATATTTCTATAACTCATATTTATTAGGATACTAATGGATACATGGTGTATAGAAAACAACAGAAGCTTCATCTTGCTTTATTAGTAAACACAAACGTGCGTATGTCGTCTTATAACTTATATTTATTAGGATATTTCACCTCATGGTGTATACAAGAAAAAAACTGAAGCTTCATCTTGCTTTATTAGTAAACGTCGCAGTTTATATTGATCAACATCACAACAGTGCGTATGCAAATTTCCCTAAAAAAATAACCAATTAAACTCATTCTTTCACGTCGTACGCTTAAAGATATGAAACGGGTGTTCTGATTGGTCGAGCGCCCGGTTTCCTATCTGAAGACAGCTCGGAGAGCCATATACACGCCTCCAAATAACAGCTGTGTGGACGCTGGCTACAGTAACAGAAACACCGTTCAGGTTTGTGCAATTCTACCTTAATCTTGGCCGGATTCATGTTATTATTTCAGTGGATGGAAATTAATAACGCTTGAAAACATCCAAACCGTGCGCATTACATAAATATATCACGGAGAAAAGCGTTCAAATGCAAATTGCGCGTCGCTTCATCTGCTCAGCCTCATATGCATGCTCAGTTGAACACATAAATGCAGCGATGATGCCACATTTGGGGGTGTTTTTATGCAGGGAATTATTTTTGAAGCAGAGTAGTAGTGGTGGGAAGAATTAGGCTAAATCAGATTCATTTGGTTCAATCGGTTCTTTTGAACAGTTC